TATACTAAACCAAAAGAAAATTTTTGAATAAATTATTTTAAAAAATAAATTTTGTATATATGACGAAAAATAAAATTTATCATAAATGTTGTTAGTTGTTATAATAAACAAGCTAACGAAAATGATCAAAACAATTGTATAATTTAAGAAGTTTATTTGTTTGTTGATAAATAAAAAATTCAGGTTTTAAAAAGTTTATGAAAAACTTGATGTGTACAAATCAAAACATTGCTGCTTATAAAGCTTTATTCTTTGATGAATTTTTTTAATGATAAACTAAACATGGCAAGATATGTGATTCCTTCTGATTTCCAATCTGGTTGCTAAAAGTATTCTTATTTAAATACAAAGAATGAAATAAATTTGGTAGTACCCTTCTTTTCGAACTTTATCAAAATTCAGATCTTACTTAATTAATATAGATTAGTATCAATATTGATCTATTCTTACTTTGTATTAGACTAATATTTTTCTTTGACGTAATTACAAAGATTTCTCTTTAGCTATACTCTATTCTCTGCCTCCCTAATTTCATTGAACATAGCTGTTGTATATGTACTCTTAAACCCATCCATCAACTCCTCAGCCTTTCTCATATTGTCAAGTACAATTTTGTTATCTGTTTTGTACAATTCTGGATTAGGTGAGATAGCCCGTCTAAAGAAAAAATGTATTATAGTGTCTTTGACGTAATTACAAAGATTTCTGATTCTTTGTCTCCCTAATTTCGTTGAACATAGCTGTCGTATATGTACTCTTAAACTCATCCATCAATTCCTTAGCTTTTGTCATATTGTCAAGTATAACTTTGCTATCTTTTTTGTACAATTTCAGATTAGGCGAGTTAAACTATCTAAAAAAAAAATGTACTGCCTCTTTATTCTCTGCTTCTTTAATTTCGTTGAACATAGCTGTCATATATGTACTCTTAATCTCATCTATCAACTCCTTAGCCTTTTCATATTGTCAAGTTTCTTTTTTGTACAATTTCAGATTAGGTGCGATAAAGAAAAATGTAAGTTTTTATTATCATGGTGAAGCGTAGCGTTAATTAACCATGGCAAAGGCCCTTAATAATGTTACAAATCAAAATAATAAAATTAATTTATTAGTTTAGAGTTAGAGTAAAGATTAAGTTAGAGTTAAGATAAAGCATTTTAGTAAAAAGATCTTAATCCAAAATTTTGATAGAAATTTTTTTTATTAAAATATAAAAGATGATCTTATAGGCAAAATTTTATGCTATAGCTGATTTTTGAAAAAAATTTGTAATTGCTTCAATTTCATATTATATCTGATTCTGCATTCTAATTGGTTTATCAGGGGTAGCAATACATCACTATAGTAATAAATTATAAAATCTAAACAATAATATTAATATACTAGATAAAAATTTTAAAAACAGAAAGCTAGTTAGTTTAATAAAAATTGAAGTTATTTAGTTATTTTGCAATTTTTTTATTAGAAAAATTTTATACAAATAATAAATAAAAAGAAAGAGTTTATATTTTTAATAAGACTAATTTTTTAATTTTACTATTATACAAAACTCTCTATAGTTTACAACTGAAAATTTACCAATAACAAAATTACTATACAAAACTCATTTTCTTCCATACAAAAAAAAAGTACTTTAGGGGCTAAGGCTCACATATACAAGAAATGTAAGCAAGATAACATGGAAAAGCCTAACAAAAATGAACTAGAACTCAACAGGAAAAATAAAAAGACAAAAACTTCAACTACAGAAGAAGAAAAAAACTTGACTGAGATTTGGAAAACAAGCAATACAGATGCAGAAAACAAAGGTTTACTTCAAACAGTAGGCCAAAACTCAGGCAGTATAACTAATTTTGCTAGTAGCAATAGTATACAAGAAGATACAGCTACAAGTACTAAAAAAAGAGTCGAACAAACAAAGGTGGCAGAGGAAGAAAATAGCTAGTTTACTCAAACAAACAACACGTTTCATAACTCAACAAAACAAGCAACACATATAACTGATAAGGCCAACAACAATAAACACGTAGACAAACACGTAAACAACCAATTAAAGGAAGCCAACAGACAAGCTGAACCAAAACAATAGTCAAGTCTGTTCTCTTAACTTGAAAGAGGCAAAGCCACCTTTTCAACCTACACCCCAAGAAAAAGAATTTATACTAAAAATAAGAACACACTAATCTTTAAACTACACAATTTGAAAAATATCTTCACTGCAGATATTGTAGAAGCAATAGCAAATGTAGTTGGTGAAGACCTTATTGCAACAAAACTAATCTTTACCAAAAACTGAAGATCCTATCTAGAGGTTATCTTTACAGATGAAAAAAAGCAGCAGTTATATGCTGCAGAAGGCCTTGTAATTTTTAAACAAACTCTCTAAGAATATATTCCAGTAAATATTAAACGAAGCTTTTTATCAGTATGACTTTGAAACATGCCTATCTCTTAAATTGTAACACAGGCAAATTTGCCTGTGTTTTTATTAAAAATTTAATTTTTTTAATAAAAACTTATATATTAA